GAAAGTCGATTTGCAGCAAACCAATTTCACCAATTACGTGCGTACGTACATACTGTTACACCATTTCGAATTGCACCATTGCCGATTGAGGTGGTAATTAACCACTAAATTTCAGCATCTATAACTTCAAAGTCAGGCGGGTCGTCACCATATTCTACGCTATAACACCAAACCTCGTATATCCCACTATTGGGATGGATTCTGGTTCTTCCATTAATATATCTAGTGGTCCTTTAGTTACTGCCAAAGATGAATCGATTTCAGATAATCGAATATCTCTTCCAGAACCAAAAACTCCAGCAGAGTTTGCTTTACATATTTTACGCAAACAATTCTACAAGATCGCCGATAGAAAGTTATCAGCCATAATGAGTCATAACCTGGTGAGTTTTTTATAGTAATACAGTTTTTTTTTCATGACTCTGATCAAAATTACATTTGTGCATTCAAAGGAACATGAGCCAGACTTTGTTCATAATATAGGGCCTGGTGTTGATCCAGTATTTGACAAAATATTAAATTCCCTGGGATACATTGCAAGGCATAAACCCAAACCGGTCATCGATTTGGTGCTTATTTGGAGGAAAGAAAAACAAGAATTAAAACAAGATGGGCCTGAACCATCACATAAACGTCAGCTGCAAGTTTTCATTTCGTTTATTTTATTAGGATGGGGTTGATTTCTCTAAATTTGCAGCGAATTAATTTTTCATTACCAACCGATCAGGAGTGATACTTATGCTGTCTTATCTAGCCGAAGTAGAGAAGCAGATGAAATTATTAAAGAACGGAGAAAAGTATGTCAAATTTTAATTTTTATATTCAACTTTTTTTAAATAAGGATTCGACGATCAAAGATTCAATTTCTGAATGTATTATAGCAAACAACATTGTTTATTGTCTGCCGAACGCTTGTCGAAGTAGTAAAACAGGTTCGACCAGAGACTCTGAGAGATGATGTTGGAAAACAACTGGAAGATCTTGCTTTTAAACATGTTATAGATTCAAGATCGTAAGCATTATAAAAACTTTTTGTTAGCTGCATAAAGGCATTTTCAGACATTTTATTTTACTTTATGTTGGCAGAGAGGAAGTACAAAGGTCAAGACATGCAATAGCAGTTTATGATTTGTTCGCAGAGCTTATTGGTGAATTATCAAGAATAAGGTTCATGTCTGTATCTGATCGATTTATTTCGGAATTGGAACGATATACACCAAATGCATTGAAGGAGCAAGAATCAAAAATTGAATTGCTGATTAGAGGAATGCATTTTTTGCAATTGAAGGTTTGCATTTTTATGCTGTTTACAAATTACACATTTACTTGATAAAGATTTAAAAATATTAATATTTATGCATATGCATATTTAGATTTACCCATTGGAAGCATTGGAGGAAACAGCGGACTTCTTACAAAGTTTAGCCAATTTCTTACGGCATGCTCATGGTGTGAGAATAAAACATGCTTATGCCCGCTTGTTTGTGCGGCTATTTATGCCTATTGCGGGGGTATGTGTTTTGTCTTTTAATGTAAGTTAGTTAAGCTATTAATTGATTGTTACTTGCAATTCATTTAGGTGGCAGTTGCGGAAGTTAATTTTCCTACATGGGTAAAAGCAGTGGAGATTCTATTTCCAAAAGCTTGGCAGATGACCTTTAAACAACGTCATTGGAGTGTAAGAGCTCATTATTGTTCAGCCAAATAAAATAATCGGCAAAATAGAATAATCGTATATATATATATATTTTTTAGGTTGCGTATCCTCTTGCGACAGCTTTGTTATGTGTTAGCCAAAGAGAATATTTTTTGAATCATTGGAACAGTTGCCTTTACGCTTGCATAAAACTCAAGGTTAATCTTTTAGGTTTATCCTATAAAATTTATAAGAAATTAACATTTAATATTTAAATTATCTTATAGGATAAAGTGCAACGGCAAATGGCTATGGGTTGTATAGTACGGCTTTTATGGACATTCTTATACCGATGTTCGGAAGGAACAAACACTACATATAATAAGCTTAGTGAGATAATTAGGCATTTATTTCCGCAAAATCGCCGGTCTGTTTATGTCAATTTGGATTTATTTGTACAATTCATTCATTTTGTTGGAATACGTCATCATGATTATTGTATGAAAAATCTTATATTCATGCTGATGAATTCAGAAAATATAGCCAATTCTAATACATCTGCATTGGAACTAATTGCACCTGAAAGAATGAGAATTGGAATAAGATCGTTTATGATGATATTATACAGCATGCAGACTTCAGAATTGAGGCCACCGTTTCCTAGTAATCCGGATCTATTTGACCAAAGACAGGGTCTTGGCATAAAGATTTCTTCCGATATTCTTTCTGATGATATTTTTAACCAAGCTGGGTTAAAAGAAAATGTTGATAGGTTTTGTGACATTAGTTATAGAGTAGCTGTTATTTTAGATCAACATTTTGGCCATTTAACTGTATTGGACGAAAGAAATTTAACGAAAGGTGCAATTCGAAATGGTGTAACAGTATGTACGTACGCACGTAATTGGTGAAATTGGTTTGCTGCAAATCGACTTTC